TGTTGAGTGACAGCGGGGCGTTTTATGATTTGATTATGTCTATTAGCAGGCAAAGTGGGCGACAAAGTCGACGACTACATTGACAACGGCCATTATGAATACACTCACACACACACACACCCGCTTACACACCAGCCCACACACACACCCTCACACACACATACGAGTTAGCTAACAAAAAAAAGAGGCGCTTGAACACTGTGCCTGTCAATTATGTTGAAAATGTAAAACAAAACATAAAACGTAAAATAATACCTCACTAGATAAGGATCTTAAAATCAAATGCAGCTCTGCTGCTGAAGCTGTAATTTCCGTCGCCTCGCCCAACACTTCCGGTTTTTCCAGAGCTATTTTTAGCACAAAGAAGCCTGCAAATTGATTATTTAAACTAGTTATCTAGTCAATTTAACAGCTTTAAGTTGACAGCTACAAAATATGAAAATTACACAATACAAAATAGTACGATTTAGAATAGGAATACAATATTTACATAAATATGATTCTCAGCTGCTTAACTTATTCACAATGAGAGGTATGCTAAGAGTTGTTTGAAGAGTACTCCAGTTGGGTATATTTAGATGCATGCTAATTGACCCCAATTTCAATCCCAATCTCCAGACGAACTACGAGACTTAGTGTCTCTTAATGAATTAGTGTCTCTTAATTTAAGTTAATCTACCAAATATTAAATCTTAGCTAATAATAGTCTGCGACTGCTGAAAGCTTTGTCTTTCCGCTTAAGTTAGGAAACGAATGGGGTCTTAGGCGAAATAATTATCCTAAGAATATTATAGAAAATTAATGAGAAAACATACCCGCTTCCATGTACCAAAGAATAGATACTCTTGAAGTACATGAAAACGTATATTGTCTGTTTCTACCATATTTATTTATCACAAAACGACAGCTTAAATGAATCAAAGTTTCAATCTAGCCAATCCTTCCAGACAAAGAGAACCAGGTAAGATAAAATTTTTAAAATCAAACAGCACACGTCAAGTTAAGAAAATCTTTAGGGAAGACTATAATTTGTTATAAAATACATATTTAAAAAGAATTATTACTTATTACATATTACATTTGCAACGAATTATCGAATTTAAACCTTAAAAAATAAAGCATAAAGCATTAAAAATAATAGAAAAGGTAAGCCCAGGTATCTTATGTATATTAAATGTATGTCAGGCTTATGAAATTGTGAGCATAACCTGCTCAAGTCAAGGTATTTCATCGGCTGTTGTAAAAGACAAAAGGAGAGAAAAAATTAAATGCCCACTAAGCTGGGGGCATTAAAAGCTAATAATCGTAACCTGTGGGGCAACTGTCGCAGCGGCAACTTAAGCCTGGCAACGCCCGCAGCAGCAGCAAAATATTATATAAAATGAAAACTAAGCTGTCACTGATTGAGTGCAATGAAGCGTATGAAATAACAATTTATTTTTTAAGAGCTGAGAAAAAAGCTTATAGCAAAGGCCAGCAGCAGCAGCAGCAGCAGCAGCAACAATCACAACAACGACAACAAAATACTATATGAAATAGTCATAAAACTATAAAGGCAAAGCCAACCAGCAAAGGCACTCGCACACACACATCCTGATTTACGAATGAAAATTCATATTAACGCCTAAGTGCCGCCGTCAAAACGTGTGCCGCACATGAATTCTCCAACAATGCGTATTATAGAAATATGTCTTGATTTTGATGTGCCCAATACATACATATATATACATATGTATGTGTGTGCATGTGTGTGTGCGTGTGTGTGTAGCCGAGTAACAATAAAAGCCTAGAGAAGCATATCCTGCCGACCCCTTCGCAGCGATGCTTAGTCACTCGCTGTCAGGAGTCAAAAGGAGGCCAAATGCGATTATGACTGCCAGATTTAGTTGTCATACAAAAGCACTTAACTTTGAAATTGTTTTGAATGATGGCGTTGCCAACGAGGATCACAAGTCCTAAGCATATGTATCAGCTTATGAATGTGTATGTGTGCGTGTGTGTGTGTGTGTCTGGACTCTCTGGGTAATTTCGTATAGGAAGTACGCACTTAGGAGCCCTAACCACGAGCCACCCCGCCGCCCCGTTCACCACGGCACTCGCTGCCCAGTTAATGGCAGCACTTCGCACGCATTTTCCCAGCACTTGTCAAAGTGTTAACAAGGCCAAGTCACTTGTTATGCGGCATAGCAGCAACTCAGCGCTGAGTTCCTGACGCTCAATGATGTGTATGATTTTCTGGGCATTGTTCAACGCAACTGTGCGCCTAATTGGCAACGAGTTGGGGCTGAAGCTGAGGCTGGAGATAATATGTGATTTAAGTACTTACCACCGCCATTTTTGTAGCACAAATAGGGAAATCTCCAGACGTTTGCTAAATCGACGGCGAATCCAATAACCGACAATAAAAAATCCACCTTGCCGCTCCATGTCTCGCGCTGATCGTTAATGCTATCGTTATCGTTGTCGTGTGGCGTGGACGTCTTTGCTATTTGTCCGGTCGATGACATCGCCGTTGCGACGATGCCCGTCTGCCTGGCCAAAACGTCGTCGTTTTAGTTGCCAACACCGTCGCACGCCAACTCAAGTCTATCAAACAAATCCAACAAAAGATAAATTACATATTAATTGCAAGCGCTGCATTAAAACCCTTTTCGTGCAAACTGTTTTTTTGCCCACATGCTATTCAAATTTTTGCATGTTTATGGCATACGACGATTTCGATTCGCTGCTTGAGTGTTTAAGCCGACACTTGATGCTCAATTGAGCTGTATCTGTGTGGGTATAGGTGTGTGTGTGTGTGTGTGTGTTGCTGAAATGTCCATAACACTTGAATTCGGTTTGGCCACGACACGCTCTCTAGCCCAGAGCTTCAAGTGCCTGTTCGTGTATTACGCATACGACGTGTGGCGGCCGCACACACAAACACTTGACAATTACAGCACAAATATCAACCATAAAGCCTGCGTTTGTCTATCGAAAAATCTGAGTTTCCTTTCATTGTTTTACAAGCATCTGATTTTGTACACATATGTATATACATATATATTTGTCTGTCTGTATACAAATGAATTGCTTCAATTAAATGTTCGCGCATTAGCCCAATTTAACCCAAGAGCTGCCTGCACTCAATTAAAGCCCGGCAAGGCTCACGATTCAATTAAGTAATTAGAACGAGAGAAGCTTTCAAGATCTCGGAACTGACTATAAATTAGCTCTGTTTCTATTTGCGAACAACACGATACTTTTACTCTTTTTTACTCTTTATTCCCAAAAACGATTTTGAGAATTAATAATTGATTTCTCAAACTCTCGTTATAAGATCTGTATCAGAAACATTTACAGATGTTCATCTTTTACCTCTATTATAAAAAGAACTGTATTTTATATGTATCTGGGTTTAAGATAAACCAACTTTTCTTTAAATATAACCGACTTTTCACTTCCGATCCTTAAATATTAAATACTTAGTTGACTACAGTTGTGGTTAATAATTTATTGACTGGCCTGTGCTGAAAAGTTGATCAATTAACTTAAAAAAAAAAATTGGAAAAAGTGTGTACACTGGGAAGAATATACACAATCTGAGCTACAAGTTTGCCAAACACTTTTGGTCATTGAAAATGTAATTGAAAAATAAAGAAGATACATTTCTTAACTTATATTATAAATACTTTTTTACAATAAAATACATTTTAAGCAGACGTACAATTTTTTGGCAATTATTTATTAGCATAAATTTATAGATTACAGGAAAATGACCAAAATATCATATTTACTTCACTTAAACAAGAAAAACATTATCATTTGATATTTTTTCAATATCTACACTTTACATACCTTTTATATTCCAAAGTTTAAAACACACACTTTTGCCAATCCATATTTAAGATTTCTCGAATTGCCGAACAAATTATGCAAAAATGATTATTAAAAGCCCTCTTAAGCGATAACAGCCCAATACTTTTCACACTTTATTTGCCACTGGCATCAATCACACATATTTTTACTGTCCGTAGTACATCATCTAGCCAAAATATACCTCGAACAACTGAAGATTGGGCAACAGCAAACAGTTCAGTTGTTGCGCTAACGGTAACATTCAAACGTATGCAAGCGATTTCTGTATGTCAGTGACTTTTATAGCCTGCGACAAGTGGTTGGCTGCACCTGCACCCTCCCAGCAGGCACACACATACACTGTCAACAAACACACACACACACAGATACAACTGGTGCTGTCTGTGTGTCAAACGCAGCAACTACTGAAGTTGAACGTCGCATGCGCCAAGGAAACGTCTTCAGAACGGAAGTGACCAATTAGAGTTGCCTTTGTGCGTATGTACGCATGTAGATATATATGTATGTGTGCGTGTGTGTGTGTGTGTACATGTTGCTTACATGTGCATTTGTATGTCTCAGCAAGCTTTTCATGCGCTATGTTGAGCTTGTGTGCCCGCCTGTTGCTAAGCTTTTTAACAGAGCTCTGTTAAGAACTAGTTATGCATTTCTGTTAAGTAAACGACAAATGCATTGAATAATATGCAAATAATGTATTTTAATAATAATGAAAATTCAAAATTGCATAGCAAATATATTTGTTTGGTAAACAGGTAGACTGTTATTTGTATGATCCGTTCAAGAAATTGAAACAAATATTTCGCTAATCCAAATATTGACTAAACAATCGAAAACAAACACAAATATTTTCCTCAACGTGTAGCTCGTACGATTTGATCAAAGTTTTGCAATAACATCTCGTACATTCGGCAAGAGAACTATATATTTATGCGCCGCGCTCTCCAGATCTTTTGTTCTCGGAAAGCTCGAATATGTTTCGAAAAAAAACTTTAAAATTGTTTCGAAAATGCTCACACACACCTAAAATTCAAATGAAAACAGCGTAAACAAAATGTCTTTTTTTAAACATTTTCAATACATTTTCCTGGCCAGCGACAAAAGTCGCGAGAGTCGAGAGCAGTTGGCAACGGGTTTTCATCGAATGCGGCCACGGAATTTGCAGAACTTAAAACCAAAACGCATTGTGAACAAGTGCAACGCACTTACTTAATAAAAGATCACTGAGAAAAGACCGAGAAGAGAACATTTGAATAATCGAATGGACTGCACTTTTCTAACAGCTATAAATAACAGTCAGTCAGTTAACGGAAAATGTTTTCAATATGCTCCTCTAGTTGTATATTTTAAAAATATGTAAAATATGTTCAACATACGGTTGATTTGTTTTTATATAAGAGCCAACGGGCATTATTTTTAATTTCGCTGTTGATAATATGCAAATGTGTAGGCAAAAGAATAGAAAAGAAATGAGACGAATTTCACGAAACCAACAAAAAAAAAAACCTGTCTGAACTAAACAAAATACACTTATATTTGCAAGCTTTACGAGATATTTGCATGTACCATATGTATGTGTGTGTGTGTGTGTGTGTGTGTCGGTCGGCCAGACGGTTCAATTAAATATTTTGTTTGACAACAGCAACAACAACAACAGCTACAACTGCTAAACTAAATATATATGTGTGTATGTGTGTGTGTGTGTGTGTGTGTATGTGTGTGTGTATAGTCATTTAAATGCGAAATAACATTGAACTTAAGCCGATTGGCAGCTAATGCGAACGGTATTTTCGGGCAACTGCAAGTGTGTTAGTGTGCGTGTGTGTGCGTGTTGTGCTGCATCTTGAAAAAGAGTTAATATACTAATTAATTGCAATCATTTAATTGGCATATTTGGCGCCCATTTTCCAGGAAGTGCAAAACAATGAAAACGCAGCGAGAAGCTATTTATCTTATGAATTTCTTTTAAGCTGCAAGAAGCAGCTGCAGATGCGCGAATAAAGATACAAACACATGTAAAATAGGCCGACAAAGATACATACATAGCCATCTATATATATATATATGCTATATATATACTGATTGCCTTTGTGCAGCCGCTATAAATATTTACAACGCTTACACGGGCAAATCAAATAAACTTTTATTCGAAAAACGATTCTCTATATTTGCCTGGTGTGTAGATAAGTTTGATTAAATCATGAACTGATGAGGCTCATGTGAATTAAATCGGACACTCCAGAAAGAAACATTCTCATTAGTTAATTGAAGATACATGCATAAAACTAAACTGAACTCAACTGCAAACTGACGTCAAAATGTCGAAGAAACCGCGAGGGCATATACACAAAATTCGAGAATTCGAATTGGAAAAGGTAATGTGCATAATATCCATCTATCTGCAATGCCATCAATCTGTTGTTAATCTAATTAAAACGAATCAAAACATTTCAAAATGCCATAAATAACAAGAAACCTAACTAAACGAACCCCAAGCAAGATTTTCAATATTCATTCCGACTTTAAAAACATCTTTAGTTGAATGTTTAAAGGAATTTCCAACTATGCTAAAAAATATAAGCAAAAAAAAATGCAAATTAAATAGGTTCAGTTCATTTAATTATCACAATTAATTATTATTTTCTTGCATTTATATTTTATATATAAAAGTTAATAAATGAATTAGTTAATTATTATTTTCCTAACATTTACATTGTATACACAAATTTTGTTTTATTATAATTATTTAGAAGAGTCTTATCGTAAAACCCAATATATGTTTTTATTACAATTGTAACTCTACAAGCTCGCTGCATACACACACATAAACACATACACATTTATCTATGCATGTATGTGTGTATGCATGTATGTACGTATGCATGTATGGAATTGTACGCGATGCTGCACGCTTCAACTTCCTTATGTGTTATTTGTCTGCAATAAACTTGGTCGGAAAAATTATTTAAAAAAAAAAGTATAAGCAGGCAGAAAGATTGATAAAACGAATAATCAGACAGGCTGTATTGACTCAGTCCATCTACCAACAGAGCAACATTTCCTTCGCTTCTTTCAAAATACATCTTGTCGAGGAATATTTCGAAGACCCTCCTCTGCGCTCGAATAAAAGGCCCAATTAAAAAATAATATTTCTTAATTCACACGTGTTTTGGCTCATAATAATTGTTTCAAATTATATTTAATATACATTAATCTGATTGGATTCCAATCAAAAAACGAATGATTTTTCAAAACAAAGATTTCAAAATTGGAATGGAAATGCAATAAATATATTTAAATTACTTAATTTGTGGAAGACCTTATATACTTTATTTTTATATAAACTTAATGCTTCTAAAGCTAAAGCTGCTTTTGACTGCTTAATTCTATATCTTCACTTCATTCATCAGTCATATAGGGTATTACGGCTTCGGTCAGCCCGTCAATTTTGAACTGTTTTCAATTGGCACAAGGCCAAAAATCTCTTCGCTCAGCTAATAGTTAACGCTACCAAGAAAAAACTCATTTTATTGGGCTGCAAACGGCGACTGGGCATTATGTCAAAAATAGAGTAACATTAAATTTGTCTGGTCGTGCGCTTACACATATACGTAATACATATAGATATATACATATATATATATATATTGGGCAATTACTAATTCAGTTCGTGGGGGTGCATCATTTGGGGCAGGTGCCACAGATCTGTTCTAAGTAAGAGTCAATTTTTACATTTGATAATATTCCCCGTATCAGATACAACTTGTGGATGAGTTTGACATCATCCAAATTGTTGGTGAAGGCTGGTTCGGAAAGATATTGTTGGTGGAACATCGCGGATCTCAAACCGAAATGGTACTGAAGGCGGTGCCCAAGCCATATGTCACGTTGCGCGATTTCTATCGCGAATTTCACTATGGACTCCATTTGGGCGTACATCGGCATATCGTAACCACATACGATGTGGCCTTCGAGACGGCTGGCTTTTATGTATTCACCCAGGAATATGCACCGCTGGGTAGGTTAATCGACATTAACCAAGTAGTCAAAATTGCATTATATTGTTTTCTTTCCAGGTGATCTTACATCAAATGTGACAGAAACTGGCGTAGGTGAGGTGTACAGCAAGCGCATAGCTAAACAGTTGGCCTCCGCCATAGATTACATGCATTCAAAGTAAGTGGAAGATTATAAAACCTCTCTATATTCTTCAGATAATATTGATCAATATATCTTCTAAACCAAAACTCTCCCCTCCTTTACAGAGACATAGTGCATCGGGATATAAAACTTGATAATGTGCTCATATATCGTTCGGATTTTCAACGCGTCAAACTTTGTGATTTCGGCGAATCCTTTCAATCTGGTACCACAGTGGAGCGTCGCAACGAATGGTTGCCCTACAGTCCGCCGGAAGTATTGGAAGTAAAGCCCGAAGGCACCTACAAGTATATATACTACATGTTTTATATATATACAATCTGCTAATACATATATTCCCCTTCAAGAGCCGATCCCAGTCACGATGTGTGGCAGTTCGGAATTGTTATATTCGTTTGCCTGACCGGCTGTCTACCCTGGCAGAAGGCCTCCTCGGAGGATCCACGGTATGTCCGCTATCTGGTGTGGCAGGCCAGCATGATGATGATGCCGTTGCGACGCACGCCCAAACTGTTTAAGGTAGAGTTCAAATAATCTCCCAATTTTCTATATAAATATGATTTCTTGTTATTTTCGAACAGCTGCTTACGTCCCGTGCGCAGCGCATGTTTAAGCGTTTCCTGGAGCCACGCAGCGGGAACAGACCAAAGAGTCTGGGAGATTTGACCAAGTTCATGGACGATCGCTGGCTGGCCAAGACGGCGGAGAAGGAGATGGCCGAATATGAGACAGACGAGCTGTGCCCCTCAATGTATTCCTTTCACAGCAGTCCCGACGAGAAGAATCGCCTGCTGTACACATTGGCGGACTGCGGAATCGAAACGAATGTCGATCGTCTGCAGAAAAAGAATCGCATAAAAGACTGGATAGAGTCGTCCATAATAACAGAGGAGGATGAGGTAGGATCCGAAAAAGTTCTACTTATGGCTCTGAATTCAAAATGCTTTGGTTTTCTCTTCTGCAGGAAGAGAACGAGGAGACGAACTCCGCGTCGCCATCCTCGTCCGTCTCACGCGAACCAGTGCCTGGACACATCTCCTCCATACGCCAGCCACAACAGCCGGCCAAGCCGAAGGAAATTAAGAGCACATTGAAAGATGCCACCCAGAAGCACTTTGATCCCCGCACGGGTGCACTGCAGCAGGGGCCCAGCGAAATGGGCATGGCCATGCACTCATCCAAGTCCGTTAATCTAGCCTCCACATCAACGCTCACCAATGCCGACAGCCTGCTGACACTGGGCTCCAGGCAGGATATGCTGGCCAGCAATTTGACCATTTATAACTCAATGGAAATGGAGCTGAACCGGCTAGGTAAGGGTCAGCCAACAATACTCCAAGTCGACGGCTTTTTAAACCAGTCACAGAGCAGCAGCCTACTAACCACGCTCGACGTGCCGCTCGAGACAGAATCCTCCACACCCGCCGCTAAGAACTCCATTGGCGTTGGCACCCGGATGTCTACCAAGAGTATTCTCCAGCGCTCCAAGTCCGACTCGTTACAGGCAGCCATGTACACCAGCATGCCAGCCATTGACAATGCCAACTCCTACAACGCTTTTAACTCCAATAACCAGAGCCTGCAGCCCATGCAGAGCAGCTATGTGCCCAATGGCAGCGCCTACTTTACGAGTGGCAACAATAACAACAATTTTCCTAACAAAACTAATCCGATCAAAACGGTGACTTTCACGGGCTTGACTAATGCCTTCCAATCGCTTGCCCAACTCCCAGTGCTGTCTAATCCCGTAGTGCCTGCGATGCCTCCCGCAGCAATGCAATCGAATTATTTTAATCGCTCCCACCATGATTCTCAAGTCAAAGACAGCGCTTACGGATCGGCCGATGTGAACGACATGACGCACACAACAAGTTATCCACAGGCCCATAACACTCAGCGCCAGAGGGTTTACAATGGCGCACGTGAATCCAATTTGAACATGAAGGACACGGCCTACGACCGTGTGGGGGTCACCAACAGCAACAGCGCGCGAAAGCGAAGATAGCTTGTGCCCGGTTGCATCAAACACACATAAATCCAACAAAATATATACACAATTTGCAAGTTCCAATAAACATAAAGCGTAAATTTGTTAAGTGTCCAGTGTTTACTCTTCAGAGAGGATTGAAAGACAGCATTACGTTCTTAAAAAATTACGTTTCCTTTATTACGCGTAAAAATCCAAAAACAAGTCACTGCCCACAAATAAGGAGGCGACGACTCTGCTCCAGACACAGTGCCGGCGCTTACTTGAGGGGAATAAAACGTGAGCTGTGGGTGGCACCAATACCGGGCCTACCGTGCTTGACGGGCTTGTAGGTCAACGCGAATTCACCCAAGTAGTGGCCAATCATTTCTGGCTTAACTTCGACCTGTTGAGAGGCGGAATTAGTAAAAGGATTTCAATGGGAAGAGGTTTGCTCACCTGGCCGAAGTCTTTGCCATTGTAAACGCCAATGATGGAGCCGGTCATCTCGGGAACAATGATCATGTTTCTCAGATGGGTCTTCACAATCTCTGGCTTCTCATTTGGTGGAGCCTCCTTCTTGGCCTTGCGCAGCTTCTTGATCAGGGCCATTGGCTTGCGCTTCAGACCGCGAGAGAAACGCCTGCGGGCACGGCTGTGCATTAGCTCCACCAGCTGGTTGCTGCGCGCGGTGAAGGAGTGAGAAGTAAACAGTGAGGTTAGTTTTGGGACGCCGCTCAGCACCCGAGCTTAGCTACTCACTTGGGCATATCCAACAGCTGATCCAAGTCCACACCACGGTAGGTGAATTTCTTGAAGGTACGCTTCTTCTTAAGAGTTTCATCAACTTGCTGTTTTGTGTCATAGAAAAATAATGGGTATTTATTAGCACAACTTATTGCCAATTTCGTATACAGTTTAGCACGTAAAACTCTAAAATAATATTTGCAAACATGCGCAGTACATGGGTCTTTGTAATCATTATAAACTCTTGCCGTACTGCACACGGATGCCTTATATTTTTTTAGATTTTTACACAAAAATTACATCGGCCATCTTGACGTTTGCAGTCTACGGAACGGAAAGAAACACACACCGCAGCGTTGCCACCAGACTCAAGAAAATGGCGCTGCCAGACTGTACGTTTTTTGATTGCATATATGGTCACATTACCACAAACTAGAGATGCGTGCATTTACTCGGAACTAAATGAGCGCAAATAAACGCTTCAAAAGAACCAAATTCGGTCACAAAATACAAATCGATCTAACAGAACACGTTGAAAACGTAACAATTTAGTGCACGATTTTTAACGATTTAAGTATGCTTTTAGTAAAAACAAGAAAAGAGTTGCAATGAAATAGCTATAAACCTTGTGTGCCACATCGTGAGTCGTGCCCCAAATATATTGTCACGCACTCATCCGCAGCAGAATCAGCTGTGCAGCGCTGGTTGAGCAGAAACCCAAACAATGCTGACGTTACCAAAATTGTGTTTTAAAATGTGCACAACTGCCCAACATAATTACCTATTGAAATAGTATTTAATGCCGTTCGCAACAGTATTCGCTTGCTTCATGTAAGCCAATCACTAAAACCAACACCGACTGCCTAGGTTTCAACAAATTGTTTCTGCTTGCACAAGTGGCGCCTGTCAATTGTGATAACAAGTGCCACAGGTAAGTGTGTGTATGTGATTGTGACCCTACTGTGTGAAATTATCTCTTAGTTTCTTTTTGCTTACGACGCAAACAGCTACCCAGTGTCGCAGAAGAAAATAAAAAGCTGTCGCACCAAATTTGCAACTTCCCGGTGAGCTCATCGGCAGGTGAAAGCGAATTGCATCATGTTCTCGCATTCGGGTCATGTTATGACGCTGGCGAACAGCATAATTGGCGTCGGCATCTTGGCTATGCCCTTCTGTTTCCAGAAGTGCGGCATCATCTTGTCCATTGTGCTGCTTGTACTCAGCAATTGGATAACGCGCGTCTGTTGCCATTATCTGATAAAAACTTCGCTGCTGACACGTCGCAAAAGCTTTGAAATGCTGGGACTGCACGCTTTTGGCACATCTGGCAAACTGCTAGCGGAACTGTGCATTATTGGCTACCTGATTGGAACGTGCATCACGTACTTTGTGGTCGTCGGCGACCTGGGGCCACAGATTGTTGCCAAGCTGTTCTCCTTGGATATGGCGGAGTACAATCATCTGCGCACCGTGGTCATGTTTGCTGTCACCGTCTGTTGCATTGTGCCGCTGGGCATGCTGCGCAACGTGGACAGCCTGTCAGCTGTGTGCACCGCTTCCATTGGCTTCTATGTGTGTCTTATGCTTAAAATTGTGCTCGAATCCGAGGCGCACATTGTCGCCAACGATTGGACCGAGAAGGTGACTTACTGGGAGCCAGCGGGAGTGCTGCAGTGCCTGCCCATCTTCAGCATGGCGTTATCCTGCCAAATGTAAGCGCTTTTTAAATTTAAGCGAACTATTTTTGTAACGAATACTCTTTTGATTGCAGGCAACTCTTTGAAGTCTTCGACAGCATCAACAACCAAAGTCTGGACAAGCTAAATGGCATTGTGCGCAATGCGACATGGATATGTACACTGGTTTACATAGCCGTAGGTTTCTTTGGCTATGTGGCTTTCTGCACGCACAGCTTTTCGGGTAAAGCCAAAAATATATCCCTATAATTTCATAAATGCTAATAACCAGATTTGTATTCCAGGCAATATATTGGTGAACCTGTCGCCCTCATTTGGCAGCGATATTATCAAAATTGGATTTGTGCTCTCGATTGCATTCAGCTTTCCCCTGGTCATATTCCCGTGCCGAGCCAGCATCTACTCCCTTTTGTACAGAAAGGTTAGGATTATAATTTAGTTAGAATGATGAGAGCCTAATACAATTTATACTTACAATTCCAGCAGGGGCACACGGAGAGCAGCAGTTATATACCAGAGCAGCGCTTCCGGTTAATTACACTGTTCATCGTTATCTTCTCGCTGTGTGTGGCGCTTATGATTCCATCTGTTGAGCTTATCATTGGCCTGGTGGGTTCCACAATAGGCGTGGCCATATGTATTATGTTTCCGGCATCGAGTTTTCGCAAGATCATCAGAAAGGAATCAACGGAACGCACCTTGGCGCAGTTTGTATTCGTCAGCGGCTTTTGCCTGATGATACTTGGCACATATGCCAATTTAAACGCCATAGACGCCCAGAGCTCCGGTCCCCAGTTTGACGGCGCTCAAGTGGTCACACCATTGTTGCCCAACGATATCTCGCCGCCCGCGGTGGGTCATGATTTAAAGAGCTCCGAAATAATTAAGCTATTGGTGAAAAACAGCGAGGCAGAAGCAAAAGGAGTTCTGGAAAAACTTGAAAATGGCAAACGTGAGCCTAACGCAAATGGCATAAATCTTGTCGAGAAGTCGAATATTGTGGGTGCTTCTTCGGACAATCAACCGATGCCTCCGTTACCTGTCGATGAATCACATAGCGTGGATGCGAATAACGAAGCGCCGCCGATTAAGTCTGAAAGCATACCAAAGGTGGAACCCAAACCAGTCGAAGGAAATGAAAGGGTATCTATTGTAAAGAAAAACTTGACAATTTTGGAAAAATCTCCTGCAGCAAATATGCCAGTTCCTAAACCAGAAACTTCTCAGTCCTTGGACCTGGCAGCACAGCGTACCATAGACGGAGCTGCCATCAAAAAGGAAGAGGAAATTACAGCCGAGGAGCAAAAAGATAAAGCGAATGCAGACGAATTGCGTAAAACAGAAAAGGAACTGCAAGAAAAAATGAAAGCATTGGAACGCACCGTGGACAAGCTAAACGAGGAGTTGGCAAAACAAAAGCCTCAAAGTCCAGACACAATGAAACTTCTGGAGAGCAGTGTGGATAAACTGAATGATCAGTTGGCCCATCAAAATGTTGAGAATCCAAAACCTTTGGCTGTAAACGAGCTAGATAAAGCACTGAATAAGGTCAAAGAAAACAATCTTAAGAAGGAGATGGAGGAGTCACAACCCCAGCCCCAGCTTCAAGCACAATCCCAGCCTCAAGACGCCAACAACACAAGAAAGGAACGCAAACCCGCCTCACTGATGGAAATGCTCACTGAGAATGCTCATGCGCGAGAGGAACAGGAAGCTCATGCTGGAGTTTTCGAGCCGCTCTCCTACAAAACGGGTGAGCTGCTCAAAAATTCAACTGGCGGTGCGCCGTTACTGGCCCAACGACTGCCACTGCCTCTGGTGCTGCTCTCGAACTCCACTCGGACAAGAACTAACGGCACCTTAGCCGCCGAACCGCCGGCTAATAGAACAACCAACGCGGACAACGTCGATGCCATCAGGCGAGAGTTGTTGCAAGTAAATGAGCCGAAGATTGCGACTGCGCAGCCCGCGGTGCGCGTCAAACGCGATGCCAACGAGAATTGTCTTCCCGAGCCCAAGTTAAACGAGCTCAAAAATAGTGCACTCGTCGGTCTCAGCCTGCAAATCGAGAACATGGGTCGTGAACTGAAATCCGTCAAGGATGATGATCTCGAGACGACCACGACGATGACTACGACATCCAACACAGAACTGGATGCAAGCTAATACGCGCTCAATTGAGCTGCAAGCACTACCTACACCAAAAAATGATGTAACTGTTACAATTGTATTTACATAACGTAACTGTTACCTATGTATTCAGATTATGTAACTGTTACATATGTTTTTACATTATGTAGGTAACTGTTACAAAGATGTATGTGACTTATGTATTTAGATTGTGTAACTGTTACATATGTTCTCACAGTATGTAACTGTTTCATTTGAATTCAGATTATGTAACTGTTACCTATGTATTCAAATGTACAGCTCCAGTGTAATGTTCACAGGGCCAAAAAGCTTTATGTACATATATATATTAACTTATTTTTAATGATAATGATGTATTAATTTAGTATCTAGCAAAAGATACATAAATATGCTAAGCAATCTATATATACATATATATATATATAACTTTGTGATTTCTTGACTAATTGAAGATTAACGCACACGACAAGGTGGGAAACCTCGACCATGAAGTGTGGGAAAACGGTGGACAGAGTTTGTATGAGGTCGCTGGTTCAAATCAGCAACAATAAGAGCTTTTGTATCTGCCTGAATTTTGGCGACATTTTAAAATACACCTTCAGTTCATGCTTAACATTTGACTTGAGCCGATCAAAACATTATATAAATTTTCATATACTGAATGGCTGTGCTGTACATAGTGCACATGTCAAAATTATTTGATATTTAGTTGTCGTATTGTCAAATGTTAAGCAATAGCCAAAATTCCTAATCAAAATTACGCAGTTTATACAATTCTATAAAGATGTCAATAGTTTTGGATGTAGTGCAAAGAATAGTTTTGAGTAGCGCCTACGAATTGACATGCGCCGCCGCCGTACAAGTCTTGAACAAATGCAAGATCGTGAGTAAAACCTCGATAAGAATTGTCAAATTGGTTAATAAATTTTGTATCATCTTGTAGATGGACGCGATAACAGCTAAGGATTATAAAGTTCGAGAAACAATGGATAATATTAAGAGCGAAGCGAAAAATAAAATAGACATTGAAGTGCCCGACCCGCCCGGAGGCCTGGATCCCAGCAGCAAGAAATTTGAAACACGCTGCGTGCTCTCCCAACTTGATGAGGCGTACAGGAATAGTGGGCCCATTTGTCCGCCACAGACGTCCTGTATGCGATTGGCGCGGAACAGCTACTTCTCTTAGATGAAAGGCGAGTGCTGGCAAAGATAAAATAACTTTAATATGTATAGAGAGACAGAGAAAGAGGGAGAGTAAGGGATGATCCACAACTTGGGTAACAAATTGAATAACTAACTTTATGGTTTTATGCACTTTAGTGGCAGCTAACCAATTAAGTTTGTATTTGGATAAATTTTGTATCATTTAGAATTATATGGTATCTCTGCAGACGGAGAGAGATTCGTTGACTTTGTATTTGGCCTAGACATCCGCGCCGAGCGCATGCAGATCGTGCAGCACCTCCAGCACTGTGCCCACACTCCAGGCCTGCGTGCGGCAGGAATCGTTGCAGTAGCTTCCATTGTCGTTGGTCAGCTCGGGCAGGCCGCGCCAATGGGATGTTTGCATCTCTCGCAGATGTGCCCGCAATATGGCCCACGTCTCGGCAATGGTCTCGTCCAGGTAGCCGCACTTCTTGGCGAATATGAGGCGGGCGCGCAAATAGAATCCTATGGGCCACACCCATTCGGGTCCCTGATGATAGTTGGCGCCATGTGCCACAGTGCAGTCTGTCGAATCGTTGGAGTTGTCGTAATTGGCTCTGTAGTTCCAGTCATCCGGGTCCAATGTCTTCATGCCCAACGGGCCAAGCAGATACTTTCTGGCTTGTTCCAGGGCACGCCAGGCGTTTTTCGGATCGCACAGCTCCGCGGCAACTGTTAGCGTTATGGGAAAATTGCAGCGCAGCTGGAAGTCTGTCCAGTCCTGCGTGGCTCCAAAGCTATCCTTGTAGATGCCCTTTTTGTTGGCCACCGATGTTCTGTCCGTGTCCTTGACAAAGAAGTTCGCATCAAAATTGTTCTGTATGCGATCTGCCCACTCCTTGTAGGTCCACTTGGTCAGCTCGCCCGACGGGCCCTTGCGTTCCACCCCGCTGTGCGGAATAATCTTTCGCTCGCTGAGTCCCTGCATGAAACGCAAAACGGCGTACTGCAGGCCAACCAGTTCCACGGCGGAGCCATCGCGCGGTGTGCTGGGTCGTCCGCGATTGCCCGCCTTCTCTGAGGAGCCCATTTTGTCCATCCAGGTGCCGCAGTTGGCGCTGTTGCCGCCAAATACGAAGCCCGTGTCCGGATGCACTCCGATGTGATTGTTAAAGCCCTGATCGACCATGTGGGCATCTATTTCCTGGCCGGCATTGCGTTCCCGGTACTGCAGACCCTGGAAGTGCACCTGCAGTGCCTCCTGCATGACGTCGTGCAGCAGCTGATCGAAGGCGCCGGGCGGATGAGGCTCGGAATCATCGTACGGGAAAATCCGTGACACCTTATCGTTGAGTATAGCGGCACCCTTCGGTGCCTCGTTTACGTACTGGGCAATGCTGTGCATCCACCACCAGACCGCATCGCGGCAATTGAAGCGCGGCTTAACGCCATTATCCAACAAATTCGGGATCAGGCCATGTCGCATGGCCGACGCAAAGCCAATTATGATAAAGCGAGCCTCTGTAAAGCGGCCCGTGAGCAGCATTGTGCCGCGCAGTGCGATGAACGTGTCCCGGCCCCAGCAGCGCATGTAGCCTGCCAAGGAGGAGTAGTTATTAATTAAGCCGTAAATCAATTGACTTTGTTACCTGTGGAAAAGTGGGGCAGGCCGGCGGACAAGGTGACGCACTGCTTCGGCGGCTTTGGTGGGCTGAGCGCAAGGCTAAAGCCCGGCAGATTTGCCGAATTGCAAACGGCCAGGAACTGCAGCGTCGAGAGCGCCAGGGATTGTGTAAAGTTATGACCATCGCGTATAAAACTGAAAGGTAAGAGAATAATCAAAATTAAGCATCTAATCTCAGCCATAAACTATATTCCCTAATTAAATAACGTGTATTATATACGTGTTATAAGAATCTATAGTTAACTTTCTAATGATAACTCCCGAACAAGCTACGTGACTTAAGTCGAAGTCCGGAAAAGAATAGGGTTTACGAGTCTAACTGCTGGCCTTAGTTTCGGCTGGTCAACCCGGTTTTATGTATATTCTTGAACCCAGGTTTTGGTTCAAAACCTCGTGCGTCACATATTTTCAAAATTAATATTGAATTTCAATTTGAAATTGCCCGTTCTACTGAAAATATTGCAAGCCTAGATATTTTCATACGGAACTTGCGGGCTAAATTTAATCTCTACCCGAAATTGGCATCTAACAAATATGTTTAGATCAATCTAATGGTTTGGGGTGCAAGATATTTGTGCTTTGGGGCTGGTTCCTAAATTTAAACCAAACAATTTTTGAATAAGATGTCGTCGTGTGGTTTAAATTAAGATAAGATAAGATTCGATAAGATAAATTTATAAAATTAGCGATTTACAGCTTTGATAGCAGCTAAATCTTGCTATCTTTTCTCCAATATGTGACGAGCAATATTCAAGTTCAAATACAATATTTGGTTTAAGAAACTAAAACAGACGAACGCAAGATTCTAAGCTAGGCTGTCATATTTTTTTGTGCAAATGTATGAAACAGCAGAAGGAAGCATCTCCGAACCCATAAAGTATATATATATATCTTGATTAGCATGTCTGTCCGTCCATCCGTCTGTCCGTCTATCCGTTGGTCCATCCGTCCATCTGTCTATCCATCCGTCCATCTGTCCATCCATCCGTCCGTCCGTCCATCCAACCGTTCGTCCATCCGTCCGTCTATTCATCCGTCCGTCTATCCGTCCGTCCATCAAGTCGGGCAGTTCCAACTGGCGCTCTTGTACTTGTTCGATTTAAGGGCGTGATAAAAATATTATCCAAAATAGATCATCTATAAACTACCAGACTATTCTCCTTTACACTGTAGTTTGTCGTGAAGCTTGCCCGAGAATTATATTAAATAAATGTATTTCGTTTGGACACTCACTCGGGCATCAATTGATTGACCTGATTGACCAGTACATTGTAGACACCGCTCACAATGGTATCAAAGTAGCAGGGTATAAGGTAGCGCGGCACGTTCTTCAACGGATCAAAGGTTGCTCTAAGCCAGTTGGACAGGGGTTTCAGATCAGCAAAGTTATTGAGGCGATCGGCAATGTAATCTAAAGAGTGGCAAGAGATTAAAGTAAAGACATAAAAGTGTACAGAATTTGGCTCACCCATCATCCAGTTGCCATCACGCAAATTGTTGCACAGTGGGTGGCCCAGGTCGTCGCGTGGTGAAATCTCCGTCAGCAGCGAGACAAAGCCTTGCAGGCCACAGTACACAATAGGCCCAAAGTTGGGTATATCATAGGCTGAGCCACCCAGGCCCATGTCGCGCTCCTCCTGATCACAGCTAAACAGTGCCCGACTCAAGGCAGGTAAATCCAGTTTGGAGACAATCGACTTAAGCTCTTCACACTGGGCACCCGACTCCAGGCGCAGCGCGTTCGTCACCTGCTGCAGGCGATCGAAGCTCTTGCGGGCGCTGGGATGCATGGAGACACGGATGGCGACCACAGTGCCGGGACGCAGATTGGCAAAGTTGAGCTGCGTGTTGTTGCCATCCGTGTAGAGGCTCGTCTCGAATACTTGTGACTTGCTGAGCGGTATGTGCTCCTGCAGCGACAGCTCGAATTGTGTAAAGCCATTCAGCACATGGTCGTCCTTCTTGAAGGGGGCCGGACGATCGAAGGGCTTGTCGCTTTTCATGGTCAAGTTGGCCTCGAGTATGATTTCGTCCAATACGCCCTCGAAGCGCAGCGGGCGCACATTGGTGGCGCCCGCATTGGGATGTGGATAGCTAAAGGCGGTGTGGGCAACCAGGATGACCGTCTGGTGTGTGTTGGGCGAGTGACGCGTCACGGCGACCACATTGGGATCCATTTGGTCCACGTACACCTGACTGAAACCTTCCTCCGCCAGCTGGCCGTGCAGTATATTCAAGGCGCGCTTGGCGGCCACAATGCCCGTTTTAAAGTCCACGCCCTTGCCCCACTCCTGATAAGGGCGTTCCTCGTCGACCACATGAATCTGGCATAAAGCAAGCAGATACCATTAGACATGCTGAATCACATAACTAGGAGCACTGGGACTTACATGATGCGGAACTAGCTCATCGTAGCCGCGATTGCTGCCCGTGGCACAGCAGGCCATGGCCACCAGCGCCGATGAGGGCAGCAGGTCGTAGACTGAACGCTTCTCAATGGGTGACGGATTGTCGTGTGTTAGGTCCAAGAAGAGCGCATGTGCCACGCTGGGCGCCGCATCGCGATTGGGATTCGCAAAGAAGCCACCGACCGGTACGCCACCGTAACGGTAAACCAGACGACCCTGCTCATGGGAATCCCAGGCGGAGAGAGCTTCCCGTATCAGAGACGTAATGCCCAGTCGGTTGACGAAGACATTGTCAGTGCCGTCGGAGTTGGTAAACAGTTCGGCGACCACATACAGCTCGGGATTGATTTTGCGTGCCGCATCCAGCAGATACTCGGCCACGTGCAGCGGCGTCGAATGGCAGTTGTCCAGGCGTACGCCGTCGAAAATACGCGCCGTTTTCTCCACATACTCGGTCATGTGCTGCCACAGGTAGGGACTGTCCTCCGGGCGTTTGCCGAAACGCAGCTTGACGCTGTCGCCCCAGGCGATTAGCTCACGCTTCAGATAAACATTTCCGCGATTCACTTGCTCCTCGGCAAAGTCCAAGAGCGGATCACTGGAGCCCATCACCCAGCCATTGTGGGCCATGAAGAACTCGCCCGCCTGCCCGTACATATCCTCCTCAATCTCCTGCAGCGATTTGCCCTCGGTTCGGGTATGCGTAAAGTAGGTCATGAAGACTGGATGCGTAATGGAGATTTCTCGGACACGCGGTCCGTCCTGCTGGACGCGCTCGTACCGCACGCCCGCCAGGCAGTTCTCGATGGCATAGTTGAGATGGCCCTGGAGCTCAGCTCTGATTTGCTCGTTGAGCGCATCCAGATGATGACGCAGTGTTTCGGCGCATTTGCGGAAACGCGACTCCTCATCGAAACAGTCGCCATGGAAAGCATTAAAGATGTCCAATGCCAGCTCAAAATCAATTGTGCTACCCAAGCGACGATATGCTGGGTCCTGTATCAGTTGAATCTCCTGAAAGCGCGACTCCTTCGCCACATTCTTGGGCGGCTCACGTGTGCGCACCTGCGACATGAACTCGTTCACGTACTTCATAACGTCGCACTGATACAGTTCGTGTATATTGACCTTGGATAGGTAGGCATGATGCAATTGGTACTTTAAGGCTTCCAAATGGCACTCCTGATCGATGATCTCGGGCACGCCCACATGCTCCAGCTTGCCCGCGGCTATGTCTTCGCTGCACTGCGCCAGTGCAGCGTCCAACAGGAAAGCGGGACGCAAATAGGGGCATGTGGCGCACGAGTAAGTCGCGTCCGGATGCTTCAACAGCCAATCGGATTCGTTGGCGGTATGATTAAGCACAATGTCACAAATTGAAGCTACCTGAGGAGCATATACATATATACGGGCGTATTATAAGGGCAGCATTAAAGCAGTTGAAGTACTTACGCCCCATTCCTGACGGCACTTTTTGATAACCTTCTCCACATCCTCAAACGTGACCCGCTCACCCTTCTTGGCCGCAAAGTTGGGGTTGACACTTAGCTGATCACGCAGCGAGTAGCCGGACCGTGATCCGCCCAGCTCCTGTATGGGCGTAAAGTGTATGACATTATAGCCGGACTCCTTGGCCACGCGCAGCTTTGCCTCCCACGTGTGCAGCGGCCCGAGCAGCTTGGCCATCACCGTTTGACAGCGTATAGAATTGAGGGGTATTATCTTCTGGGCGCCCACCGGACCCACGTGCAGCGTGGGTTCCACCTGCACGTACAACGCGCCATCCGGTGGTGCGTCCGGCTTGGCTTCCCTAAAAGCAGGAGGAAATGATTATATCAAATATCACGATATATAGATATTTTCACTCACCGATCGGCGAACCTGAAGTAGAATCGGAACGTGCCCGACAAGTTCAACTGCAGCTCGCTGTAGATGTCCGTGTCGACCACATGGACATCCGGATGCTTATCGCTGGTTATTTGCTGGCCATCCCTCAGCTGCCAGCCGAGCACGCGATATTCGGTGCGCACAAACTTCTTGCCCTCGTCCGGATAATTGGTGTGCAGCAGGATTTTGCGGCCCAGCAGCGAGACATCCGGATGCACGCGCAACCTGGAGCCGCGTTTTAAACGGTAAAGGACATGCTCAGCATTTGTGCCCTCCGCAATGGGTATGCTGTGCGATTCGGTGTCCTTGCTCATTTTTAATACCTGGCGGGAATAGGGTAAGAAATTCTCTACGCTATAATATATATGTATATATTTTGTATTTGTGTGTGTGTGTGTGTGTGTGTGTGTGTGTGTGTGTACATAGATGATCACAGAGATATGCCATTATATAAAAATTGTGCATTGAGGCAATCAATTTGATTCGATTCGATTCAATTCAATTCGTTCTCAATGTCACCCCAATAAAAATAAAATAAAATCAAATGAAGCAAATACAATATGAAATATGTTTCACATGGAACTGTAGAAAATTGTTGCCATACAACGTTAATTAATTACAACTGAAACCTTTCCCTTTAAATGTTCAAAAGTTAATTATAGTTTTCACTTTAAAATCAAATTTTATAGTTCTTAGTCTGAAGAATTTGCATTACAACTTCAATTTTTTTTTTTAAATCTTCTCTCTGTACATATAATATTTAATTATATTTTCTAGTTCCAGAATTTGAAGAATTTCAATTACAACTTCATTTTTTTTTAATCTAATTTTCTAGTTCACGAATATTTTCAGGATATTTTTTTTGTTCGAATTCCACATATAAAATAATAACTGCCAGGAGTATCTTTCAGCTCTTATTTAAGGATTATTATTGATTGATCTGATTTATAGTTCCTGAGTCAGGCGCCAGTCTATTTTTAGTTAAGATAGGTTTAGCGATTACAACAATTCAGATTACGAGACACACACACAAAGGCGATCAGTTACAACACCACAGTGCAAGTAATTTACAAAATTATAGAAGCAATTTCCAAAAAGTAATTATATATATATATATAAAATATATATAATTAGACGACTTTTAGTAACTAGAACACGAGGAGCACACGGCACAGACTGAAACTGTCGCTTGGCGCTCGGTTGTAGCTGTTTTTTATTAAGTCTGTGCTATGCTTTGCCCCAATACACTCACATAAATGTGCACACACATACGCACTTATACACACACATACATATATGCATAGGCGTATGTATGTGCATATTTACTACATAATTACAATCAGCGATTGTGTAAATACCTCACTGTGGTGTTTTTTTAAAGATTTGCTGCGTCCGACTCCGGAGCGGCTGATGCTACTGCTGCCTGCATTCCCCATAACTGCTGTGGCACTAAGCTCATTTGCACTAATCGACACTGGCGCCGACTCGGCCGGCACAGCTGTAGCTGTAGCTTTAACTGTAACTGTTGCGGTTGCTGCTGCTGCTTCTTCTTCTTCTTCGTCTCTCAGCTCAGTATTCGCTTGTGCCGGCACCTTATCAAAGCTTTGCACTTGCTGCCGCTGCTGCTGCTGCTGCTGCATCCCGCCATTTACCGGTCCCGTTGTTAGTTGCGCATAGTATTCGAGGAGCCAGCGAAAGAACTGATAGCCCATTAGGATGTGGATCAGTGCATAGAAATTGCGCCGTGTGCTCTTGTAGAGCCACCTGAGACCCTCGACAAGCATTGCGTAGCGTTATCTCGAAAAGCTTGAAATGAAATTTGGAAGCGTGTTGCTCGGTTTTTTTTCGCGAGTTTAGTGCCGGCGGCGGTATTAAAGCTACTGAAAGCTAGACCACTTGCGATCGTTAATGAACCATTTTAAATAAAAAAAAAAAAAACGAAATGAACAAGTGCGCATACTAATTGCATACAGGTAAATACATACAAATGTGAGTGCGTGTTTTATACCTATAGAAAGCGGCGCAGAAGCTTTGCAACGATTATAAGACAACCTCTCTAAGCTTTTCGCCCATGACTTTGGTGCATTTCTTTGCACGCAAAGCTTACATGATAACGGTTAATGTTCGCTATCGATTCAAAGTCATTTCTTTTTTTATTATACTTTGAATCAGTTAAGCCATAAATATCAGTGGTTGCGCGTTAGTTCGAATTTTCCAGAAAATAGAATCTAGAATTATATATAAAATCGATGTTTTATTTTCTGCTGGTTAAAACCACATTTCCAATCGACATTTTTTTGAAAAGCTTATGAATTTCATCGGTATCCCGTTTTCCGTTTAACGACCACTGTATTTAATTCTCGTTGCGGTTACAATCATATAATTTCTGAATAAATTTTAAAGTTATACATTTTCTACACTCGAACCCACTTGAATTGGTTTCCCTGTCGGTCGAGCTTTTATTTTTACCGGTTTGGAATGTTCGGGTTTACTTCCTTATAAATTCTTTATTTTGCGTATATGTTGGCATTTGTTTTTATTTGACAACAATTCGTGTAAATGTATTAAAAATAGATTAAAATATCTTGCGTCCATTGACCTACATATATACGCACTTATACATACATATATACGCACTTATACATATAGCTAGGGCTATAACTTATTCAAATTCAAGTAAACTAAACTACTGAACACATGTTTGACACCAATGCTGTGCATATGATTCATAATTTTGATCGTAAACACTTAGATAATGGACTCTGTGATAGTTTCTAGTTGAAAACGTGTGCACACTTGATTTAAATGAATTTAATTTGTTTTAAGTTGATTAAAAAAATATTATAAATTAGTCACCAACTATTTTCTTGAATTTGTTGCACCAATAACTATGATCTGCGGCTGAATTACACTTTACCAGTAAATAAATTCCTCAATTCTCTTTTTTTATTGAGCTCAAGGTGACCTTTCAAGTTTTCGTGCGCGCGTCAGCTGTTTCGGCTTGAGAACGTCGCACCCTCAGTTGCTGGTAAACAAAAATCAGCTGTTCGTCTGTTTTGTTTTCTGTTGTATTGCGGTGGTTACTTGATGTACACATTCATCTTGACTATGTGCGTTTACTGTTTGTATGTACGTTAGTTTACAAATAACCTATGTTGGCAAATTGCGAATACATTTTGACTCGCGATCACACATATTAATATATTATTTTTACACGCAATTTTTCATTAAGTTTTTGTATGTAATTATGTACGGTTACTTACCCAATGGTCATATATTTGCCAACACTGTGTTTCTTTGCAGTTAACAATCTCTTACACATTTTGTGCACAACTGTGTATTTTATAAATGTATTGTTTAATTAGTTTTACTGCAGGGCAGATACGCAAAGTGGACGGTAGCATTTTTAGAAACAATTCAGAACTGGCCAAGAAGACTAAAGCGTGCCTTCCGATATCGATAAGTTGCTAGTTATCGGAACTGAACCAATTGAACCAGTTGGTAAGTTCCGCAAGCATTTTGCGCTTACGTAGTACGCATAACGGTAACGGGCTTATGCAAGGCGCGAAAAATGTGAATCGTTTGAAACTTCTCTGAAGAAGAGCTTATCAAAACGAAAAGAATGGAAACTAACTGTTTAATTCTTCCATGTTACAACGTTGTAATTTATTTGTAAAGTGTTTTGTTTATTAAATTTATTTGTCTTAATTGCCATATGCATACATTTCTATAGTACGCATATTAAATTCATAATTGTAAGTATACTGTATTTGAACAATTCTCTAGCAACATTAAATTATTACAACAGTGAGGCGCATTGCTGCAACTAACATACATTCTAGTTAGTAACTTAAATTAACTGGCACTAAGTAAAAAGCACATATTGAATCATTTGTTGTTCCTGCTGGTCGCAGTCGCTGCAGTCCTATCATTTTCGCACCGTAAACACCAACGGCGCCGACTCATCCTCCTGCTGCTCGAGCAACGTGGTGCGAATAGCTCGTATTGAGGCATGCTGCTGTGCCTCGATATCCTCATATTCAATGGATGTGGAGCGCAGCAGCTGGAACTGCGAGTTCGCGTCCGTCTTGGTAATGATCAGTGATGCGGGCCTGGGACCTAAAACAAAAGCAGAATACACCTTGTTACTATGGGAAAACGGACTGACTAGATTTATGTATATTACCTGGTGGCGGCCTGGTGGTGAGGCGACCTTTACTGCTGCCTGGGCCGGACGCAAGTTCCATTTGGCGCTCCGTAACGTATTCCACATTTGGCGCTAGCTTCGTATTATTATTATTGTTGTTGTTGTTGTTCATATTGGCCAGATTGCTGCCGCTGGGTGTTGGTTTGATCGAGACCCGCTTCTCGGACTTGACGCTGCCTTGTTGCTTCAGTATCGAGTCGCGGCGCTGCTGCATTGGGGAGCCTGAGTTGAGCAGCGTTGGGGTGAACATGGCGCCGGCGCTTGACAGGTCAAGGTCTACAAATTATATTGTCGATTGATAAAAATAATGTTAGACATTGCAAAGGAATACACTAGATCTAAAGGGAAGTACACAGAATATAGGCAAACATTAGCAACCAGATGCTCATGTGGGTTTTTTTTAACACATTTGTTCTTTGTCTTTATATACGAGTTGATGGCAATGCGGGACTCCTTTTCCACTATAAATAAAGGGGTTACATATACTATATATGTATGTATGTAGCCGACACCTTTTGTTAATAATTATTTACAAGCTAAACTAGGTGAAATACCAAACAATTGTTTCATGCGTTAATCAAAATTAATTTAAAGCAATTAAAACCATTTTCTTTCCAAACAGATACACACATATGAATACAACAAACTACAATAAAATACAATTGTAAACAGTTGTTCGTATGATAATTTATTTAATATTTGCTTAAGTTAATAATTATGTTTTTGGGAAGCAGCATTTTTTTGCATTTGCTAAATGGTTAGTTGTTCTTCTAATTGCGGTTTTTATGGCAACTTAAGACTAAATTTAAATAATCGTGCAGTCGTTTTATGTAATACATATGGTAAATGCTAAACCAAAATAATGTCGAATACATTAAAACATTTAAGAACCTAAGCACATCTATATATTTTAGAGTTCAGCTTAGGTTATGAACAATTGCCGATCTATATAAAATAGATCAAATAACGAAATAACACAAATTAAAACCAACATATATAAATGCGTTAAATTGTATAAAAGCAACATTTCTATTGAAGCATTTAGCTTAAACGAAATTTCAAAAGCGTTTTGAAATGTTTCACAAATCCCAGTCACATTGTGGTAGTATTTGCTCTAATGGCACATTTATAGATTGTTAGCCAACTAATATTGTTTAGTAGGTGGTTTTGTTTAAATAATGTACTTAAGCTTAAAACTATGCCAGACCTTATACCTTACATATTTTATACTGGTATTATTAGAGCTTACATACATATATGTATGTGCATGCATATTATTTCTATTATTTGGTTTTTACTGGCTCGTTGGTTAGGAAGCTCATTTTGAATACAGATATGTTTGTTAGTATAAAGTGTACATTTATAAAGATAGTCGAAATGGTCGTCTTTTTTGGTTGCGATTCATAATTTGGTATCATCATAGATTTGATCTGTGTTGGGCACCACCACCACCATGGGCACCTTTGTATAGGGCATCATGGGCTCGATCAGCAGCTCATCGGCAATGGAACCTGGACGCGCTGCCAAGCTTTGTTGATTGTAGAACCTAGCACCACCAACCCCACTAACACCACCACCACCAGCACCGTAACCTGCGCCCACATTAATTAAATCGGCTTGACTGCCGCTATTATAGCCATTACCCGGCTGCAGCGGCAGGCCACCAGCAGCGCCGGTGGCGTTTAGACTTTGCAGGGAATGCGAACTCGCGCTGCGATTGTATTCATTGATCAAATACTTTTGTTGTTGGGCATTGCTGCTGCTGTTGTTGTTGTTGTTGTTGTTGCTGCTCTGGCTGTTGTTGTTATTTGCATTGTACTGCAGCAGATTGTTAATATTCTGATCATCCGATGGCGAACCAAACTCGGAACTCTCGCGAATGGGTGCTAATTGTAGCTGTGCAGCTGCAGCTAACATCTCACCTGTGGGCAAGCCAGACGGGCTGGGTCTCTCGCTGCTGGCAACATCCTCGAAGGCCTCCTCATTTAATGTTTGCAATGCGCCACAAATCATTTGCTCCTCAAGTGTAACCTGCATAGAGAGTAATTATTATTAATAATATACAGAACCTTTAAAGTGGATCTCTGGATATTTATAGCATGGGCATGGAAATATTTGCTTTTTGTTGTGTTACCTGTAGATACTCATAATCATGGATTTTCGGCTTTATTGGTAAGCATGTTACAGACAGAAAGATAAACACAATTTGGCACACAGATGAGCTCCCGTTCGGGTTATTAATCTTCTTCCCACTTATTCACTAACCTGCTTCTCCATGTGACTAACAGAGTTCCGGCGTGAGAGCGGCGGAGGGGGAGGCAACGCATCTGTCACGTCCCTGATAGCGGCCACATTGGTCGGCACCTCTGCAATGGCGGGCTGTGGGCGTATTTTGCGCGGCAACCGCTCGACGTCGCGCAGCGTTGTGATCAGCAAACGGAACAGCTCCCAATGACCGAAGCTCAGGCCAAGCACCTGCATGACATGAAAGATTTGAGTACATTCTGAAATTTCCAGGTCAATCCCTTCGAGCTCCATACCGCTTTGAGATCCGTCAGTTCACAGTGCTTCAGCACGCGACCATTGATTGCATTGTCACGCAGCACAGGAGCCAGTTTCTGCAGCGTCGGCTTCAGATCCTCAATGCGTTCCAGCAGACTTATGACGCCCTCAACTGTGAGATCCGTGAGCTTCGTTTGCAGTATATCATCCTGTGGCAAATAAGGGATAATTATAGTGAATGCTTCCGAGCATTTGGGGCTCAACTTACGCCAAAGGAATCGCTGGGCGATGGCAGCAGCGGCGTCGTTGGCTCAATGGCGCTCAGATTACGCGTGCGGAGCTCATTCGCCATAAAGTCGTTCTGGAGCATTTGGTAGGGAGGATAAGCCTGGGGTGAAGGCACATAGGTTGTGGGCGCCGGATGCGGTCGCATGCTGTGCGATATGCTGGGACGTGTTTGCAGCACAAGCGAACCTTCGTCTTCGATGATTTGTTGATCCTCTGTGCGGGCAGATACAAGTAAAATTTTAGTAGCTGCTTAGCAAGAATTAAAACATTGTTCACTTACCTTTCAGCACCTTTCTTAAATACGGATCCAGATTGATTGTGAATGGCAAAAATATGCGCAAGTCCGCGACCAGCAAATCGGATTTATGCAGCTGCAGAAAGGCGTCCAGCTTGCGCTCATCCCGATCCAGCTCGAGCAAAGGTGCCGCCTCACGCAGACAGGTAAGTTTTGGGCGCACTCTAAAAGCATTTAATTTGTTATTAATATGAAAACGGGTTGACTTTAAGATTTATAGAGTCTCTATTTGTATTCGAACTAATCTCAGACACGCATCTGCCCAACTGGGTGGGCTTAGTTATATCATAAAACTCCGATATAATTGAAAGGTATAGAAACTTAAATATTATTATCCATAAGTTTCACCCGTGTGGTAAGCGGGCAACAGAATACTTCCACAACATGTCACCGCTTGTCGTATGAGGCGACTAATAGAGACAAGTGGGTTTTCCAGACCCTGGGCTTCTGGCCAAAACTGGGAGGCTTCGCTATACCATGTATAAAGTGGAGCAAGCTGGTTCTAATTCCTAATCTAATTCTACGTTCAACTGAGATATTGCTTTATATATAAAATAGATATCTTGGTGAAATCGTCAGCAAACTGCGCGTCCAAGTTATTTTTGGTTGAGATTAATTTACTGTGCTTAGGGCTAAGGGGTTTTACTCACTTCTCATAGACGCTCTGCAGCGAGATGTTCTCGTCGGCATTGGTGTCCATATACTGATCGTGATGCAATACAATCATGCTGGCCCGCAGTGGCCACTGCTCGGTCAGGTTGATCCAGGAACTGAGACGGTACCAGCTGAAGTCGATTTGGAATGCTTTCAGTAGGCGCACAGTTATATAGATGACGTTCATGAGGCGGCGCATGCTGCGCGGATTCACATCGCTGAAGTAGTCGTCGGTGAGCACAATGCGCGACAGGTCGAGCACACCCTGCGGATTCTGGCCCAGTCTGTGTAGATTCGAGCCAATCGAGCTGGCAACCGATTCGGATAGACGCAGCTTTTTGCCAGCACCACCGCCTCCGCCAGCACCGCGTTGTGCACTGTGCGGGGCACGTAACTTCTCCTGGCTGGACATAATCTCCGAGGCATTGGATAGCCGGCGCGCTGAGACCGAATGCCCCAGCGTGGGTCCATCGTCGATTTGGTAGTCAGTGCCGCTGCGCTTGAACAAGAGCGCCGTCATTTGGGCACGCTGCACCTTGCGTAGTCCGGAGTTTTGCAAATAAACAGGCAGATGCACCAGGTTGCGCAGAAAGTCGTGACCACCAATGCCGCCCTCGGTAAACAGCCGCCGACTGTTGGCCTCGGCGGCCTTGGCAATCACATGCGGATCCACGGAGATGAGCAGCACAAAGGGTCGATTGGGCGCAGAGAGCAACGTCTGGACAGCATTCAACAAGGTCAGTATGCGTTCCGTATCACAGGAGTCCAGGGCATCGATGACGCCCACCAAACGGCTTTGCTGATTTGTAAACGCGTCCAAGCATTTAACCATGTCCGTCAGCACGGCCACCTCGGCGCCGAGCATAGTCAGCGGCGCATTCTCATTGGAGCGCACGGCCCGTTTCAGCTGCCGCTTGTGCGAAATGAACAGCGAGCCGCAGACCTTGGCCAGGACATGCAGATGCGTGCAGATGAGCGTCACCAGCAGCGCAGCGATGACATATACGGCAACCAGAATCTGCTCGCGCTCCTCTGCATTGGCGTGCGTGAAGTAGGCAACTATCAGCGCAATGCCCGCCACCAGGGTGACCAGGGCGAGCTCAAAGAGCAACACAATGGGCAAACAGCACATGCGACGCCAACGCCAGCCCACATCCAGTTTCAGGCACTTGGGACGAAAGGCACGATACAGCCGAGTGGCCAGCCAGCCGTAGTGGGACTCTGAAAAGAACATATGTGAACATATATATAGATTGAGATGGATAGATTTAGAAGCTCTCACCTATGGCGTCCAGCAGGGCGGCCAGCATGTGTGCGACGGCGCCATCGCCCGTGGGCGAGGCACTGCTTGCCTCCGCGAAGTGAAAGCGCACGGGCTTGGGCTGGGAATCCGCTTGTGGTCCGGGCGGATGACAGAATGTGACCTGCAGTATAAGACGCAGTCGCGAGATGCGCTTATCGAGGCCGTGCAGCACAGAGTAGGCCCAAAACATGTCCATTTGATAGTTGCAGTATTTGGCTGCCGCCAGCAGAATATACGCCAGTACCAAGAAGAGAACCGCAGCCAATACGCCCCATAGCGCTGACCAGCTGCTCAGACCCACAATTGTGCCGATGAGCAGCGATATGTGCAGGCAGACGATGAAGAGCAGGCCGCCGGTCTTGGCCGGCGGTTCGGCCCACTGTTTGGCAAAGTTGTTCATTTCCTCGCGCAGTTTGTTCAGCAGAAAACTTTTCCCGCTGCCCCACTTGGCGTAAAGGCCAACGGTTATGGGCGTGGTCAGCGTCGGCTCGCTGAGCACATCGGCCAGCGCTGAGGAGTACAGCTCATAGCCCAGCATGCCCTCGGAGTCCTCGTTGGTGTTGAGTCGTCGGGCGCCAAACACCTGACCAAGTATGGTCTTCTGGTGCAGCGAGTCAATGTTGTAAGGTGTTTCGCCCGCCTTGTTAGCGCGGTATAGCAGCTGGCTGTGCTTCGGATTGCGCAGCAGTGCCTCGACAATTGCCTTGGAACGGGCACGCATCGCTATGTGCAGGCAGGTGTCGCCGCGCTTATCGCTGGCCGTCACCTTGGCCTTGCGGTCGAGCAGCATGTGTACAATCTCCAGATTTCGGTTGCGCACGGCGCGCAGCAGCGGCGTATCGCCATCCTTGGTGGACGATTCCAGATCGGGATTGGTGAACAGCAGCAATTTGACAATCTGCGTGTGACCCTTCTCCACCGCCGTATAAATGGCCGTTTTGCGATCCTTGCCCTGTATGTCGACATCGGCGTGTTTCTTGAGCAAAGCCTCGACCACGGTGCGATGTCCACCCTTTATGGCATGAATCAGAGGCGTATCCCCGCCTCGATCCTGTATATTGATGTACGCACCGGCGGCTATCAGTGCGGCGGCGATATCCTGGAAACCCTCACGACTGGCTATACACAGCGCTGTCATGCCGTCCTTGTCCAGAGCATTCACATTTGGCTTCTTCTCCAGTATGGAACTAACGCAGTCCGTATGCCCGCCGGCGGCCGCAACCAAGAGCGGCGTCCATGAGTACATGCCGGCGGTGTCCACATTGGCACCAGCCTTGAGCAGCGTGTCCACAATCTCAACGTTGCCGCGGCGGCATGCCCAAACCAGCGCCGTGGTGCCGTACTTGTCGCCCACATTAACCTTGGCGCCGCGTTGCACCAGCAGCTCCACAATATCCTTGAAGCCGCGACCTGCGGCCCAGAGCAGTGCACCCAAATGGTAGTTGCCGTGTGCATTGCCATCCGCTCCCTTGTCCAGCAGCAGGCGCACCAGTTCCGTATGTCCCCGGTACGCAGCCCACATCAGAGAAGTCCAGCCGCCCTGCAAGCCTTACGGATGAGTATCGTAAAGTCAGTGAAGCACAGCATTCACTTACCATATCGCGATGCTCTATGTCAGCGCCATGATCCAACAACAGCTGCACCACATCCAGGTGACCGTTGCGCGTGGCGCACAGCAAGGCCGTCCAGTTGTCCAAATCCTCCGCATGGACATCAGCGCCACGAGCCAAAAACTCACGCACAAATGCCGTCAGGCCGCGTCCAGCCACAACCATAAGCACGGTGGTAGCATTCTGTAAGGGAATATGGATACATTAGAGGTATATAGAGCATGGTTTAGGTAAGTCCACATACCTCATCCCGATCATCGATGGCTAGATGACGGCTATCGAGTATTGCGCGTAGACCGGATATGTCATTATTATCGATGTACTGCAGCAATGCGCGGTGTCCCAGTGAACCCATGGAATCTCCGTATCGATTTATATTCTAAATTGGTACAGATTGGACAAAAGAATTGAGCAAATAACATTTTTTGAATGTTTGCTATAATTAATAAACATCATGCAGTTTTCTCGTAGATTAGTTTTGTTCAACTAATTGGACTGAAGGAGACTTTTAATTGGGTAAACATATTTAAATTAAATATAAATCAGCATACAATATGTGTATACACAAGTCACATGCTAATAACTTTCTTGTTTGATAAACAGAACACGAATCAAATGCACTACACTCAAAGAAATTGGCATAAAGTGGCTCCAAATTGAGTCAAATTAATTGGGTTAGGAATTAAGGCTGAAGGAATCTCATTTTGCAAAGTTAACCAACACTGCATGTTATTGGGTGTAAAAAAAATTATAATTTTATAAAAGGGTTGTTAGTTAACAGACATTTTTATTTCATTTAAAATTTACGTTAACATTATGTTAATCAGCTGTTAGTTAATAGAAAACTCTACTTCATGAGAAATTCACGTACAAAAAAATGATTCAATAATCGAATCTATGAATAATTATTTTATATGTATATAAATATTTTTAAAATATGTGCTAAAATAATACAGATGTGCCCGCATAACGTTAATTAGGGCTGAAAATGTTGCGATCATACAACTCCAAGATTAAAACCTGATCGTATTGACGTTTGCCAGAAAAATAATGTCATATTGATAAGAAGTAAGCAACTCGTGTTTAAGATCAGCAAATCGAATTGATAAAGTTGCAGTTCATTGGGATAACTTGGCCTGTCAACTGAACGTCATGTCTTTATGTCCATATATCGTATACAAGCTGAGACAACGAGCTGTCAACAATTTAATGCCCGTTTAAAAAGTAAAATAAAAAACCATTGATAGTGGCGCCTCAATAAATCTTGAAAAAAATATGAAACAGATCCTCAGAGGGCACTCTTTGTATATTATTTTGTCTGCTTTCGTACGGCATAGGTATATGTATGTGTCTATGTGTATGCATATTTTATGATAACGCCAAGAGAAAAGATAACAGGCATTTGTCATGCCAAAATAAGCATCCACTCACGTTTTGCAGTAGCTTTGGTGGCACATACCTATCTAAACATTGTCTAAATCAAGCATATTAAGCTGTCAGCTGTGACAGTTCTCAAGAAACTGGAGAACCAACAGGAAGCAGAACTCTAGACTTCAAGAGCAACAAGTTATAGGAAGTGCCCGAGACGAATCTTAAATGGATCAAACTGATATTTTTTTTTGTACACTTCTTTTCTGAGGCGTGAAAATTAGTTATAAATAAATGTTTGTAAACACAGTCTAGCGTTAAGGTTTTATCTAAGCACAGGTGTGAGTGTCAGGCTGTTTAATACGTAAAGGTGTAAGTACTTCTGTATCTATGTATGTAGACTAGAGTTAAGTGCTAATACGCACTAAAGCGTAGCTGGCGAGCAATATTGAACACTTTTTCACTGGCCAGAAAATTAATTATAAATCGGAAAGCTTTTATTTAGAGAAAACAGTTGCAGTTAATTTGAATTTTGAAAAATGTCTAACAATCTTGGTCCGGTAAATACTTGATGCTTGAAACTAGAGCACATTTTTTCAATTTCCTTTTTTTTAAGACATTTCGTTTTCTTGGTTATTCTTTCCCCAAAATTCGTGCTTACTACTCAAGGGTTTGAGTTTTATTACAAAGAGGTAAGTTAAGCTATGAATTATTCAGAATCTTTTCATTTGTATTCAATTAAATAGTTTTTTTTTTTTTGTATTTTTTAAGATATTCTTCTTTCACGGGGACTCGATTCCTAAACTTAACAGATAGAATATCATTTCTGTTTTACTCAATTAAACAGTTTTTTTTTGTCTTAAAGAGTTTTCTTTTCTTGGTGATTTGATTCCTTATTTGTTCATTTTCCAACGTCGAATATGCCATATTTAAGTCGAGAATTATAAAACTTGCAGGAATCACTTGAGTATTGCACACTTAAGTACTTGTATTCATTTTTAATTAGCTTATGTTACCATTACATATTTTTTTTTTTTTATTGTAAACTGAATACTAACATTTTTGGTTTTTTTCTTTGTCGGGGAACGCAGATTATTTAAGCTCAAGCGCGATGCGCTTAGAATTAACTCGTCGAAACTTTTGGATAATTTCATTTTGTCAGCGCGTTTTGTTGTTGCACTGCAACAGCTGAGTTGGTAAATATTTGTAAATTTAATGTTTTATTTATTTAAGACAAACCGCAGTGTTTCTTTTCGTTTTTTCTTTTTTTTTTATCAGCTCATGATTTACAATGGAATGGAGCACAATAAAGACTAGATACACGTAATTAAAGAGAGCAAAAACAAAAAAAAACTGTCGCAGTGCGCGTGCCGCCTAATTAACAATAATAAATTGCATTTTATGTGCTTGATTATTTTTTTTTTATTGTTTAATAATTATTCTCCATTTTTATGTTTTGTTTGATTTGTATCTCAAAGAATGCTTCTGCGCGCCTCGACGAATGGCCTTTGAATGCGCGCCGCGAACGGAGCTCAGCAGCCCATGTGCAAGCCATTGGATGTGCTGCTCGGATGGTCGGTTGGTCGGTTTGTCGGTTGGTCGGACTGCTGGGTTAGACTCGGCTGGTATCGGGTATCGCATGACGCGTTTGGCTGCTTATCAACGAGCCCAGCACCCAAGCAACCAACACCCGCCCCCTCCGTCAGAGTGTTGCGAATTTAAGCGGGCACGCAAAAACTTAAAAACTTGAAATGATTACAAGCCGCGAGCTGGGGCACGCGGCAAATAACTACACATGTAAGTAGAGATACTTGGGGATACTTTGGGATACGTTAATACGCAGATCTGTGTACTGTGTACAGCACGAAATTTGCCTCAAATTAGGAGATTTGACTCTTAAAAAGGCAGCCAAAGCGATTCGTCTAGTTTTACGAAAACATTTCTTAAAACAATTCGTAACTTTTTTACAATACAAAGAAATGTTGTAAGGTGAAAAAACAGTTTGAATTGTAGAACACTTTTTAAAGCTGACTCTTTAAATAAAAAGAATTGTTGTAAAATAAAATAACTTTCTAAAATTTAGAAAATTTCTTAAAGCTCATTCTTGTTGCCAAAAATTGGAAAAATCTCAATTTTGTTCTATATTCGGAAATTCGGAAATTTAGAAAAAGGGTCTGAAAACTAGATAGTTTATTCTGAATGTGAGCAACTATGGCAATTGCCTTAAATTTAGGTAATTTTTGTTGTTATATTTGTTTTGTTTTTTTGCGTGTACTAGATGCGCGCACTTTGTGAAATGCTGTAATTTTGTTAACAGCAGGCACTCAAACGTGTTTGCCAATTTGGCTATATTTAGAGGCCGCAAAGCTTGCGCCTCGGCAAATAAATAGCTGCTGCAACACGCTCTTGCCACAAGCACACGCACCACGCACAACGCGCCGCCAACAACTAACTGGGCCTGAGACTGGGCCTGAGACTGAGACTGAGACTCTGGGCTAAGACTAAGACGAAGCGAATGACCAATGACCAGTGACCAATGACCAATGCTGTTTAGCTGGAATTCTACTCTTAAGCGAAACTGTAGCCTTTATAAGTTACACTGTCTGGCATAGGAGAGTTTCTCTTTAATGTGCGGCCCGGCATTGTGGGAAGGTCAACTGCAGCACTTAAGTTAACCAACCTTAGTTGCATTTGTTAATTGTTAATTGATTTACAATATTTTTTCTTCTTCTCTTTGTTTGTGCCTCGTCTGGCGCTGGCACAGTTCATTTGTTAATTGCTAGAAACGTTTTGAGTTAATTAAATAAACGTCGACAATACATTTTTGCTGAATCGCGCAAATGCCTAACTTTAAGCGTATATACTAAGCTTGTGTGCCTTGCTCTGCTGTTTAACTGAGTTCTTCCAAAGAAATTGAGAATATTTGTGGTCAAAACAAAAAAAAGTCCCTTCAATTTGGGTCAGCTGCACAAAAGCCTTCCTCGATTAATCTTGTAAATGTGCAAGAGGCCAGTTTGCAAATGAGAAAGACGCATTTAAAATATATTTTTAATATCAGCTCGATATCGCAGGAACTTGACAACTTAAAGGCATATAGTATAAGTTCGTAATTGAGAAAATAACCAAGGTAATAAGTTATTCTCCCACAAACGTGTCCAGTGTCCAAAATAGCTCACTGATGGACAGTTGCAGATAGCTTTACGACATTTCATAACCGATTACCAATTAGAAGTTGAATTTGTTGCTTCTCAAGTGGCCATATTATTAACCCCCGAGTGTCAGTTAGTAGCCCCTACTAATGTTTATCTCTCGCACGACGTTTTTAAGTATTTAGTGGGTAGCGGGTTATTTTTAGCAGCACGCACTTAAGGCATTACGCGGAAACATTACTAATTTTATGGATAAAAATAACTCAAAAGCTAACAAAAATATTGTAAAGAATTGCCACAAATAACAGTATTTTGAATTCATTGATAATAATAATTAATAATAATAATTAATAATAATAATTAGCATAATAATATTTTGAGTTCAATAATAATAATAAAAGATAATAATAAATGAAAGATATAATAATAATTCAATATATTATTCAAAATAATAATATATAATTCAAAATAATAATATGTTGGATTCAATAATAGTAATATTCAAAAAAATTATAAATATTAATAGAAATAATATTATTTAAATTAATAATCTAATTAATATTTATTTTAGCTGTCAAACGTTTTTAATTGTGTAAAGTTAAAGCATTTTGTAAAAGTATTCAATATTATATGACTTTTTTTGCATAAACGACAAAAGTTAATATTTTAGTGAAACCAAAATTGGCACCAAAATTAACACCAAAGTTAACCATGTTAATTTTTTTTTTATTAAAACAACAAAAAGAAGTCGAACGGCAGGCGACAAAAATGCAGCATTAAACTTGTTGGATCATAGGCAACACAGCAACAAGAGGGAGCAGAGCAGGGCAACAAAGAACAACAACAACAACAAAAAGAAGAA